CCCCAGCAAATTGTTTTACTTTCAGTTTACTCATAGTATAAACAAGCACCTTAAAATTGCTTCCAGCATTCACATTAACCACTATAGGACAGCGATGAATACAGTATAAATACCGAAACAGAGCCTAAGGAACTTAATCTTTGCAACATGCAACTTCAATTTTTTTGTTTTATCTTATTCATATTTTTCTTAAGCCAAAGTTTAGAGTGGATCAATTTTCTTACTAGCTCTGATGAGCATACAGCTTCAGGCAGGAATTCAGGCAAGCAATTCATAAAGCCTTATCTTATGCCACACAGGAAGACTTCAGCAAAGAGGACGTCACTTAATGTGCAGGCATCAATAGCCAAGGCTTTTAAAAAAATCCACAAGTAGAGAAAAAAGCAAAAACTTGACAGTGAGCAATTAGATATCATCTACTTCATACAATAAAAAGTAGCAAACTGGCTATGAAACAGGCTACTGGAAAGCCTAGCACTGGTGGAACATGCCAGGTAATTCACAGCTTGGAAGCACCAGAGTCCACAACGTATAGGAATCCTGAAAAAGCAGCTATGATGCCTTACAAAATATCACAGTATTGCATCAGCCAGAAACTAAGCAGTCGTTCAGCAACCAGTCATTTATCTTCAGTAATCTGTATTCTAAAGGGACAGAGGCGCCTGTTAGCACCTGTTCAGCCCATGCATACAGCCCACCCTAGTGACAGGCCAGGTCTCATGGTACCAGAAGGTGCTTAAGTAGAATGAGTGTTCACTGACCTTCACAAAAAAAAAATTAGGGTTTTTTTGTCCTTTTATTTTTGCAAATAGCCATACTTCTTCACAAACTACTTTGCAAAGGCTCTTGACTAATTAGTGATAATAGGTCCCTTTACAGGTTTACTAGAAAGATTTTCAAAGCTTATTTTGATGCAGTTAGGAGAAAGATGAGAATAAGTTTGCTGCTCTATTACCAGGCCTTGCCAGTCACCACAAAACCCAAGGAGGAAACTGCAACACCAGCAGCCAAGAAAAGTCTACTGCTAAGCTGTACTTGCAGCTTTGATTAAGTCTTAAAAACACACACACACACACACAAAAAAGGTCAGTGTTATGTAGTATACATGAACCTGCCAGCCTGGGATATTTAGGATAGTCCTGATGATTCACCAATTGAGTTTACTAAATCTTGCTGCCGATTAAAGCTGGAAGCCTGTCTTCTCTCTTCTAAGGGAACATGCAAAAGACAGGTACACAGGTTGAAGAGAAAGGGAACCCTCCGTGTATTAGACTCACCTGAACTTGCTTGCGGAGTTTGCTGCATTCACCTGTCAAAACCTGCAGCTGGAGACGGCTCTGTGCAGATTCCAGCTCTGCCTGTCTCCGCAACATTTGCTCCTTTTCTAAAGAGCTGGAGGAACAAGAGAAAAGCAATCCTTAGGACTAGGAACTAGCTAGGATGCTTCTCTGGGCCATCGACTCCTATCCCCAGACCTCATCCCAACACAGGTCCCGTTCAGGTAAATTCAAAAGCAACAGAAAATCTGGTACCACGCTCATCCAGTACCTTCACCTCAAGATGTTCTTGGTTATGCAGTCGTACTGAATGACTTACTCAAGTATCATTCCATAGAAACAACAGCCTTTCTCCTCACCCTCTCCAAATGTGCCAAGTTAGTAGGGAGAAAAAGAAAAAGAGGCAGGGTTTACCCCTCCCCCCCAAAACAGTTCAGCAAATTCTATACCACTGATGTCCATATAACATACGATGACAGTAATACAGCAAGTCATAACACAGCATGATCTTCAAGTTTGTTTCTACCACCAGTAACTGATTTTGTATTTCAGGAAAACACAGCTGTGTCAGAAAAAGACAGATAGAGGTAAATTCTCTGTGAATGCCCAGCTAGAAGCCATACTTACTGCCTCACCTTAACCCTGAAAGCACATACACACCACGTAGCAGCAGCAGTTTGATAACATACTTCAATTTCTCTTTCATGTATGTTTTACATATAAAGGAACA